GTCCGCTAAGACAGTTGTGCCCACGGCCAGTCCTCAGCGCTCATCTCTGTCCTACGGGTGGCGTGAGATGTTAACATCTGGGGACTGTCTCTACTGTCTTCGAGACTAAAATTATTCTGAAAACTTTTTATTTTTAATGAATAAAGGTAACATGGCCGGGAACAGTGGCTCACGCCTGTGATCCCAGCACTCTGGGAGGCCGAGATGGGAGGATCGCTTGAGCTCAGGAGTTCGAGACCAGCCTGAACAAGAGCGAGACCCCGTCTCTACTAAAAATAGAAAAATTAGCCAGGCGTGGTGGCGCCTGTAGTCCGAGCTACTCGGGAGGCTGAGGCAGGAGGATCGCTTGAGCCCAGGAGTTGGAGGCTATAGTGAGCTGTGATGACGCCTCTGCACTCCAGCCTAGATGACAGAGTGAGACCCTGTCTCAATAAATAAATAATGAAAGAAAGAAAGGTAACATGTAAAAAAACAACAAACGGGGCCTCGTGCAGGTATCCACCGATCACCCAGAATCTGTTGTCCTCTGTGTTCATTTCAGAGCCACGTGTGTGAACATAAGTGGCTGGGGACAGCCTGCAGGGCAAGGCACAAGCTGGCATCCATGCGATGTGCTTGTGCCAACGCAGAAGCAGCAAGTCGATGCCTCAGATGTGGACGGGCTCACAGGCCTCAGGTAGTTCGTCCAGCCCTCCCGGTCAGCCCAGCAGGTGGTGGGTGGGGTCCGGCATGAGTTTACCCATTTTACAGATGAGGAAACTGGGGCTTGGAGAAGCCATCTCCTCTCCCTCTTAGATGCGCGGGACACACACAGAGTAATTCCGAGATCCTCCCATAGGCTGGGTGGCTTCTCTGTTATGAGACCAGCCCTGCCCTCCAGGTGGGGCAGGTGAGGCTAGAGGGCTGGGGGAGGAGGGGCGCCAAGAGCCCTAGACCCTGCCCTGGGGTGGGAAGGAGGGAGGCATCCACGCCCGGGGTCAGGTCCTGCCTCCCCAAGCACCAGGCACAGCGTCCTGCGACAGCCTCGCACAGAATCACACGCCCTCGCTCCCACGCAGCCACCAGCCTCCCTGCCGTGTGTCTGTCCTTCCTTGGCCTTCGTGGGAAAGAGCAGAAACCCAGATCCACGCACTCAGGCGCTGCTGCGGCAGCTTCCCAACTTCTCCGGCGTCAGCGCGACTGCTGCGGCAGGACCGTCAGAGAAATACCCGCCTCTGCCGGCTCGTTCTGCCTCCAAAGCCCTTCACCAGTGGCTGTGACAACGGGATTCGCATTCTGACGCCCAGGCTTTCCAGAAAGCCCGCGCACAGCGGCCTTGATGAAAGGCCACACCAACCTCATTTCCCCAAGAGCTCTCTGAGCTCCGTGTTTTACACCCTAAACATTCAGATTCCTCAAAGAGGACTTTGGACAATTGTCACACAAGTGCCCATTAAGGACAGGACTCCAGGTGCGCTGCACGGTCCGCTGGCTCAGATCCACACGCTGTCCTCGGAGGAGCGCAAACATGTCCACTGTCTTTGGCGGGGACAAGAGGGGTCGTGCGAAGCAGGAAGGGGGAGTTCACACGCACGACCTCACACGGCCATCCCCGAATCACGCACGGTCTCACAGTGCAGCCGCACACACGCTGCGACACAACCACACGCACCTTGCACACGACAGACACACAACCGTACACAACCCCACACACGCAGTCACACGCTCGTATCCACAATCACAACTACGTACAATCGCACACAACCACATACAGAGTGTGCAATCGCACACACAAGCACAATGACGCCGTCATACACAGCCACGCGCGGCCACACACAGCCCGCCCGGTGTGCGGCACCAGCAAGACAGATCTGCGGGGAGGCGGCCACCTCACACCACCTCCCTGGGCTCCCACGGGCCTCATGATGTCGGAGCCTCAAGGCAGCTGCTCACAGGGGCGGGGATGGCAGCTTGGTCTCCACGGGAGCTGGGGTCCCCAGCCAGCAGAGGACCCTCAGGACGCACCACTGAGGAGGCGCTGACAACCCGCAGAGCCCTGCCTGGCTTTCCTGCCGCTGTTAATCCAAGTCATGAGAGCCCCCCAGCAGGTGCCACCTCAGCCCCAGTGTCAGGCCCTCTGACCTCACCCTCTTCAAATTGTCGCCCCCCCCCAAAAAAGTCCTCAACTTGTGTTTACTCACAAGCAACGCGGAGGGCAAGACCTCCCGGCAGGAGGGACACGCTGGGGAGGGAGGGGAGGGTTCTTGGGGGTGCTCCCTCCTGGGTCCTACCGAGTCTCCTCCCCCCGATTCCTGCCGCGCCGCCCCCAGGAGGCTCCAGGCTGAGCTCTGGACTTGCTTTTAGCCAAGTGCACAGGTAGAAAAGAGTGGAAGGGTGTGGATGGGCAGGGGAACCCCTCTGGGTGCTCCAGCCGCGTCCACATATGCTGGCTGCGTCCACACAACCTGGCAGCATGTCTATACAGCCCCGGCCCCGGGTCTCCGAGAACTGAAGCGCAGGGCATGGGGCGCCCCCGACTCACCTGGCTCCCGGCAGGCAAGGAAGCTGCACCGCGGATCCTGCCGGAACGACCGGGAGCCACAACCGCGCGGGGGCGGGGAGGGGAGGGGCGTGGCGGGGGCGCTCTCCCCTCCCCCTTCCTTCCCCTTCTCCTCCCCTTCTCCCTATGCCCTGCCTCACCGCACCCAGCTGAGCCCCTGCCTTGCCCTGGCCCCACCAGGGTCCCCTACCCCTGACCCCGATCCGACCCCCACCCCCTACCCCATGGGAGGGGCCCAGGGCGGGGATGGGCGGGGCTGGAGCCTGGGGGAGGAGCTGGCTGGTCTACAGGAGTCCTCATGTCTCTGGAAGACCCACTTTCCTCCATGGAAAGGAGGGATCCGTGGGAGTCGAGTGGCTCTCGGAGTCCCCGACACAGTGATGGTGCAGGACACACACAAACCCATGCATCTGCTGCCCACATTCCTACTGACCCAGGCCCTTGCCAGCGAGGCCAAGACCGCACCTTGCCCCACAGCTGCTTGCTAAGAAGGTGTTTACGTTTCTTATTTTTTTTAGCGACGGGGTCTCGCTATATTGCCCAGGCTGGTCTCCAACTCCCAACTCCCAGGCACAAGTGATCCTCCCGCCTCGGCGTCCCAAGTGCTGGGACTATGTGTGCGCCAGAAGGGCCTTAACATTTCTAAAGTGTTGAAAAATATCGAAAGACGACTATTTTGAGACATGCGAAAATGCTATAAAATTCCAATTTGGGTATCCACCGATACGCGTATGGTGGCCACAGCCACGCCCACTTTCACACGTGGTCTGTGATGCTTTCCAGCGACAAGGGCAGAACTGAGAAGCATGATGGGGACTGCGTGGTCCGTGAAGCCTGAAGCCCGGGGACAAGTAGCCTGATCTGCCCATGGTGGGGACCAGCCCCCTGCGGCAAAGCTGAGAACCCCCCACACCCCGGCTGCTGCGTCCACACCGCATGCCCCACGCCACGGAGGAAGGAGAGGCCGAGCCAAGGGTACCAAAAGCTGTGTTTAATTATGAGACTCAAACGGAAGCCAGGCAACACGTACAACGGAAACTCGAAGAAGAAAACTGCCTCCGATTCCTCGACATTGGCCACACAACCGACATTAGAGAGAAAAACCTCCACTCTCAGCCCCACGTACGAAATGGCTTAAATTAAGGCGCAGTCCGACGGGCACGGGCAGGTCACCAGGCCCCCAGGCCGTCCTCGCAGCGGCCATGGGGGGAGGTCCACGCACGCCTGTTCCAGTTCGCCCAGTGCTTTTTAAGAAACACAGAAAAGAGACGTTAACCTTTTGCTTTTTTTGAGGAAAAACCCATCATTTTTCCCTGGAAAGATGGGACTGAAGTCTCTGGTGCTGGTATTTTCCTGCATGGATCCCGGCTTGCCCGGGATGCCTCCGTCTGGAACGGCGGGACCGCGGCGCCGGGCTGTCCCGCGTCGGTGGGGTCCCTGCCGTCGTTTTACATAGACAGAAACCCCCTCTGGACTCCGGTCTGGAGGCTTCGTGGGCAGGGAGGGCGGCACGAGGGCGCTGGGGTCCTGGCGCCTGCGCAGGGGGCTGCGGGGATGCTGCTCCGCAAGTGACCACACGTGGCGACAGGGAAGGGCGCCGGGGCCTGGTGGCCGGCTGTGCCTCGGTTGGTCCCACCACGGGCACCTGTGCCGTGGGCGCCAGAGAACCCCGTCGGTGAGGTAGAAGACCCAGCGCCAGCTCCAGGATGTGCCGGCACATTCTGGGGACCCCTGCTGTTGAGATGAAAAGCTGCTGGCTGCCTGCTTGCTGCAGGGGCTGGGCGGGCGGGTGCCAGCACGGGAGGGTGGGGAAGCTGCTTGCAGAGGCCGGGACGCGGGGACAACCAGAGCGAAACGAAGGCGTGGAAGACAAAGTTGAGTGCCGTGCGCGGCCAGGCCCCTCCCCGGCTCCAGGGAGCCCACGGCCGCCCATCAGAAGGGCAGCCTGAGACTCACACCCCGCGCGGCGACGCTACCGGAGCCAGAAGTCGTGACTATTAAAACCGGGAGAAGCGCGCGCAGCGCCTCTGGGATGGGAAGGAGCAGCCTGTCCACTTCCTGAGGCCCGTCGGCGACCCCCAAGCCTCACTGGCCGTCCCAGCCCCGAGTCTGCAATCCAGCGGCGGGAACCTCGGGTCTCAGGCCTGCGCCAGTGGGTGTGAGAGGGAATCTGCGCGGGCCGTGGCCAGAGGGAAAGTGGCGCCTTTGGGCGCAGAAGCAGCTCCTCCCCCACCAAGAGCAGGGCGTCGTGGGAGCAGCGCCCCGGGAAGCGGCAGGGAAGCACCAGATGTGGACGCGCCTGTGGCCTGCCTGGCCGGCCGTCGGCCACCACAGAGGGACGGGGAAGGCGGGGCGAGTGAGACCCCACTGCCCGGGGCTTGCAGCAGCCATGTTAGCGGGGTGTAGGGCGTGAGGGGCTGGCGAGGACCTCACGAGGCTGTGAGCACCATGGGGCGGGGCGGGGCGGCCGAGCGGGTGCAGTCCGCGGGCATCTCGCGCCTGTCCTCGTCCTGCGGGCGCAGTGGGCGAGTCCTGCTCCCTCTCCCCTAGGCCAAGGCGCGGGGCCGGGCCTCTGGGTCAGGCAGGGCCAGGTCCCGGCCCGCGGGTTCAGGGGTGCTGCCGGCCGGGCTCCCGGGCTCCTGGGCGGGGGCTGTGGCCCCCGTCTCCTCGGACGAGGCCGGTTCCCGGGGCTGCTCGATGGCCGGTGGGGGAGACTTGGCCGGTTCTTCTCCAGGAGGCTGCGGGGATGGGGACAGGGGCGCGTCCGAGTCCTTGGGAGGCTGCGGGCTGTCGGCAGGGGCTGGGGCCCAGGGAGGCTGAGGTAGGTCTTTCTGCAAGAGAAGGGACGCCGGTGAGGGAGCAGCAGGACACCCGACAGCCACAGCCCCTGATGGGGCAGAACGAGCCACTGTCCCCAAAGGGCCTGGACCCAGGCTCGGGGCAAGCAGCAAGGCGCCCCAGGGAGAGAGGCGGCGCCCTGGCCACGGCGCTAAGGAGGGAAGTCTGAGGTCTCCCGAGGCCGGGAGCCGACATGGCCCCGTGGCCGTGAAGAAAGCTCAGACTCCAACGCCCCTCAGTGCTCAGGGGCCTGGCCTGCCCCTCCTCCCTCTGGTCCCCCAGCTTCTCCCAAACCTTCTAGAACTGACCCCTCACTCTTGTGGCCCAGGCAACACCCACCGGAAAGGAGACCCTGGCCTCGGTGGCCAGTGAGGGCCAGAGGCCCAACTCCAGCGCCTGCCAGCTCCAGCGTGACACCGGGGTCTCTGCCCGCCCCACGCTCTCCCACCCACACAGGAGGGACTGGCTTCGCCCCCGCGTGACCAGCACCGCTGAGAACGAGGCGTTTCCCACGGAGGGAACTTCATTCACGGGACCATTTGTCCAGATGCCAGAGGGTCCGAGCAGGCCCCTGGTCCTGCCGCAGCTGTTCCCAGTGTCCAGGGGCAGCTGGGCGTTGGGGGGGGGGTGTGCCATCGTCCCTGTTAGGTTAATGCTCTCTCAGGTAGGAAGGGGCCCACCCTTTCCCTCCTGGGTTTTAAAAACCAAAAGCCACACACGGCCCTGAGCCCCTCCCTGCGGCGGTGCATTTCACTCCCAGACACCCCGGCACAGAAACACAGTTCCCACACGTGAAGGCCAGGCCAGGGCCACCCTCCAAACTCAAGGTGCTGCATTCACAATGGCAGGCACAGAGGGGCCTCGAGTCCACGCAGGAGGGCGTCACTGTGCTCGGGGAGCAGCCTTAGGTGAGCAAACCCACACCCGACAGGCCGCGTGCACCCTCGGGTCACCCCCAGCGCGGGAGCCACGTGCAGTCGGCGCCCAAAGCAAAACCTTCCAGGCATGGGGGCCCCGACCCTGGAACCCGCCAGGTGCGGGGCTTAGTTAAATACTAGGAGATCTTACTCAACTTTAACCCTAGTTAGGGCTTATTAGTTATTATTTCTCGCAGTCATAGCAAACTGGTATTCACCGCAAAGCCGCTGCCCGTCCAGAACACGCCCAGCTCCCGGCGCCACAGCGCCACGGCGAAGCTTGTCACCAGTGTGCAGGGCACCAGGTAGAGCAGGGCGGGCTGGCCACGCTGCATGAGGGCCAGGGCCATGAACGTCACCAGGAGGCCGATGCCGTAGGCTGGAGGGAGAGAGGGGTGTCACCTCGGCCGGCTGGGGCCACAGGAATGCCCTGAGCTGGCGGGGAGGAACCAACCGCGGAGGATGGAGGGGACTAGGGGTGGGAGAGGCAGGTGGTGGGGTCACACATGTCCCCAGGCACACAGATCCTTCCGGCACCTCCAGGGACACATGCCTACCCCACCCCCGCCTCAGCGGGTGAGAGGGGTCGGGGGTCAGGGAGGTGAAAAAAGGGACGAAGAGAGGGCATGGTGTGAGGAAGGGGACAGGGAGGAGGTGGCTCTGGGGCAGCAGCCGCAGTGGCAGGAAGAGTCTGGATCTCAGAAGAGGCCAGGGAAGGAGCCAGGAGCTGGGCCAAGGAGCTGGGTTTATGCATCTTTGGTCAGAAAAACAGTATCACGGAAACACAGCTACGTAGCTAGAAAACCCAACCTCTGGCCACAGAAAAGGATGCCCCTGTTCTTGGTCACAGAAAAGGAAAGACCCAGGGAAGCATTTAGGGGAACAGGGGCGTGGTGCCCGCAAGCTGCTCTCACAGGCCAGAAGGATGCTGCGACTTGTGTGTGTGCACAAGGCCACACACGTGCGCACGACCGGCGTCCCCGGACCCCTCGGGTACCGAACTCCACAGATGCCCAAGTCCCTGACACGAGTGGCACAGGGTTTGCACGTAACCTGCGCACATCCTCCCGTGTGCTGTGGTCACCGCTGGGTTTCCCGTAAGAGCTAAAGCGATGCCAGCGCTGTGTGAACAGCTGCTACACTGACCAGGGCGTGATGACGAGAAAACAGATCTGTCCGTGCTCACATGGGGACATTCGGACCCCAATTTTTTTCCTGCGTATTTTGATCCACGTTTGGTTGACTTGTGGATGCAGAGGGCGGACTGTACACAAGTCCCCACGAAGTTGGTGAGACTCTACTACGTGAAATGTGAAGAAATGTTAACAGTCAATACATCTGAGAGCGAGACATATGGAGATTCTTTGTACTAACCTTGCATCAATTTGAAATTATTTCAAAATTTTAAGTGACA